CTTCTTCTACTCGGGTCTCTCCATCTTGTTTGTAATCCCCAGAACAACTAGAATGTACCAACAGTGCAGCAAGTTTAGATGAAGACATGTCTAGGACAGCACAGGTTAGGTACAGACTCTGTGTGGGTAGTAAGATTCCATTGTTTATTGTGTTTTACCAACCCCAAGAGGTAGAGCGCCAACCTTGATCAAGAAAACTAAGCGAGTGTAAGGCCTTGAGTTCAAATCCTGGTACTGATAATAATTTTTGATTTAGAAAAAATTTACACAGTTAGGCTTTTTTAATGAATATAATCCCCATTTAGATGACAAACTCTCTTTTAGAGAAAGGATAAGCCTACAAATTTGGAGCCAAAAGTTTCTGGTTCTGAAAGCTCGCAGTTACGGGTCTGTTTAGAAACTGTCAAAGCCAGATGGGCACCAGTGGCTCATACCTGTAATTCTAGCAACTCAGGAAGCTGAGATCTCAGGATCATGGCTTGAAGTCTACTTGGGCAGTTAAGTCCATGAAACTCTTATCTCCAATAAACTACAAGAAAGAAAAGGGCACAGGAAGTATAGCTGCAGCTAAAGTGGTAGAACACTAGCCTTGAGCTAAAGAAGCTCATAGGCTAAAGAGCCCTGAGTTCAAGCCCCAGGACTGGCACACACACGATCAACAACTATTTTAAAGAACTTTTATTTTTTGTCAGTCATAGAGCTTAAATTCAGGTTCTGAGTGCTGTCCCAGAGCTCTTTTTGCTTAAGGCTAGCAGCCCTCTACCACTTATAGCCATAATCTTGTTTTCTGGTGGTTAATTGGAGATAAGAGTATCATGGACTTTCCTATCCAGGCTGACTTTGTACTACAATCCTCAGATCTCAGCCTCCTAGGTAGCTAGAATTATAGGCATGAGCCACCTGCACCTGGCCTAAAAACAGTTTTATATTCTAAATATCTAGTTTATTCTTCTGTTGTGGAGAAGTAGAAGGTAGATTTTGTTAGTATGAAAAACTACAAAAATTAATAATAAACAAACCATCTCAGTCAAAATGGTCTCTTAAGACCTGAAATAATTTGAATAATGTTGATACTCTGCTCTTGTGAGCTCATGTCATTGAGACATTCTCCTGACCTTCATGCTCATATTGAAGTAGAACAATTAATTTGGAAAATTGGTTGTGAACATTGGCAATAAATGGGTAATCAACCATGGGAGCAATTAATTAAAAGAGCTCCCATTTATTTTATTTTTTAACACTAAAACAGTTTTAGAAAATTGTTCCCATTATATACATAGGTACCCTACTGTTAGGGTTTTTTTTTTTTTATTACAACCACACACAATTATCCTAGGAAGCTGGCATTGGGTGTACCCTTCCCCCAGCCATGAATGTTAAATTTTTAAGACCCTAGATTATGGTTTAATTTTGAGGAACACTAAGGTAAATATAAGTTGAGAAGGGAGAAATTACAAGTAAGCACATGAAAGACATTAAAACACTTTGCATGTTAGTGGTGACTGAATTCTATCTGGCATCAAATTTGTGAGAGGGCGGGATACTCAGCATAAGAATCAGCGCGTGAGGGTTACAGCTGTTACTCTGAATAGGAAAAGGAAACTTAAAGAAGATGGAATGGATTTCTTTTGCTTGTTCTCTCTGCTAAGACCAACAAAGAGTCCTAGATAGTACAACTCAAACAAAGATACAGATGCTTCTGAAGGAGGAGAAAGGAAGGCAGAGCCTCTGGGGTGTGAGGGTCTGAGCAAACACAGGCTAGTGAGTTCCCTAGACTTCCCCTTGGCCTCATAGATCCCATGGTTGAGGCTGAAAAGCTAAAAACCCAGAAACATCAAGAGGCACAAACAACAGCAACAACAATAACGTCTGTTGTTCCCTGACACAGGAATACAGCAAGTCCTTTGGTCTATGGTCTCTATTCCAGCCCCACACCACAGGAGAAAACTGTGACTCCATGCCCACTGACACCACCCAGGCTAGTGGATAACAGGGAACCTCTGCTTCTTTTTTTTTTTGTTGTTGTTGTTGGTTGTGGTCCCTGAGCTTCTTTGTGCTTAAGGCTAGCACTCTACCACTTGAGCCACAGTGCCACTTCCTGTTTTGGGTGGTTAATTGGAGATAAGAGTCTCACAGGCTTTTTTTTTTGTCCCGGCTGGCTTAGAACCACAATTCTCAGATCTCAGCCTCCTGAGTAGCTAGGATTACAGGTGAGGTGTGAGCCACCAGCACCTGGTGAACTAAGGCACTGAACCTCAGCAGGCTGATGTCAGACTGCCAAACAGAAAGCCAGGCCTTTTCTGCCTGGCAGTTGAAAAAGAGCTCTTCCTCTTCCTGGGGTCAGTAGATCACAAGGGCAAGGCATAAGGGTCAGAAATAAACAAACCTGCCCCTATTGGAGGATGGCATTTAAATACTATTTTTAAAATCCCCCCCAAATCACCCAGCTTCCAATGGCAAACACTTATAATCCTAGATACTCAGGAGGCTGAGATCTGAGGATCCTGGTTGGAAGTCAGCCTGAGTAGGAAAGTCTAGTAGATTCTTATTTCCAGAAACCACCAAAATGCCAGAAGTGGAGCTGTGGCTCAAGTGGTAGAGTGCTAGCCCTGAGTCAAAAATTAAAACTAAATAAATAAAAACTCATGCAAGTTCATGCTCTTGGATTGGGAGGATTAACATAATGAATATGGCAATACTGCCCAAAGCTATCTACAAATTCAATGCAATACCAATCAAAATCCCAACAACATTCCTCAATGATATAGAAAAAACAATCCCCAAATTCATATGGAATAAGAGAAGACACAAATAGCAAAAACAGTCCTTAGCAGAAAGAATAATGCTGGAGGAATATCAATACCAAGATTCCAAAAACTTGGAAAAAATTATATTAAGTGAAGTAAGCCAGGCCCAAAGAAACATAGGTCCCATGGTTTCCCTTATTTGCAATATCTAGTATATGTATGAGTCAAGTGGAAAAGGTCAGATAATGTGATGTCAGGAAAATGAACCCTTAGATATGTATTTTAATGTTTTTTTCTTTCATGCATGTGTTTCTAATGCATTTATAAGATTATCTCTTTGTTGCTTTGTATGTCCCTCCCCCACAGTATAACCCCTGCTTTCACTATATTTGATGTCAGTATAACTTGTGGAGGAGATGGGGAAAAACCAGTTGTTTAAGGATACAGGTGGACCTGTTGCAACAATGAGAAGTACAAGTTGTCATGTCCAAAACGAGCTTTACAACGTCGGTTGGGGGGAGGGAGAGAAGGAGAAGGATTGGGATTGGGGGGGAGGGGGGAGGCTGGGAAGGGATGTGAAGGGTAAACCAAAGGAGGAGGCTGCAATGCTTGGTAAGAAATGTACGCATTATCCTGCCCATGTAATTGTAACCCCTCTGTACAGTATGTTCACAAATAAAGTAAAATTAAATTAAAAAAAAAAAAAGATTCCAAGTCTCTGACAAAGTCTTAGTAATACAATCAGTTTGGTAGTGGCACAAAAATAGGCCTGAGGATCAATGGAATACAATAGAAGACCCAGAAATCACCCCATCACAGACCCGTAAGCCAACTAATATTTGATAAGGGAGCCTAAAACACAGGATGGAATAAATATAGCCTCTTTAACAATGGTCCTGGCATAAACTAGGCCACATGAATGCCACTAGCACAATTATGTTCACTGCAGTATTGATTACCCTTTCCCACACATGGAATCAACCCTGATGCCCCTCACTGGATGAATAGAAAATGTGGTTTGTATACACCATGAAATTCTATCCTTCCACCAGAAAGAATGCCATTGCCCCATTCATACAGAAATGGAAAGAGGAGGAAAAAATTATACTAAGCTAAGTAAGCCAGTCCCAAAGAGATATAGGCTACATGCTTTCCTTCATTTGTAATAACTAGAATATGCCTAAAAATCTACAAGTAAACTCAATGGATAGTAAAAGACAAATGATTATACTTGGACAGAATGAACTAAACAGCACTGTAAATATTCACACAGTGAGAACAAAGAAGGATATTCTTAGGAGAGGATAACAGGGGCTCAATAGCTATGTGCGTATGATCATATAAAATTATCGATGTGGGTATTGGTGGCATAGGCCTGTAATCCTAGCTACTCAAGTGGCTGAGATCTGAGGGCGGCTTCCAAGCCAGCCTGGGCAGAAAAGTCCCCAGGAGACTCTTTTTTCCAATAAACCACTCAAAACCTGAAGTGGCACCATGGCTCACAGTGGGTGAGAGCTACCTTGAGCCAAAAGAGCTCAGGGATGAAGCTCAGGCCCTGAGTTCAAGTACAACAACCAAACAAAAGTAAAAAGGTCCTTCTTGAATAAAACTCCAAGAAATGGAAAGAAGAGGGTTTTGTTCTCTGTTTTTCTTTTTTTGTACACTTTGCAGTTCTCTCCCTCCCCCCTTTGGTTTATTTCCTTTTGTAACTGTTCTTGATTTTTGTATTCTTTGTGTTATATATGAGTTGATCTGATTTGGGGAGGGGAAGGGGGAACACCGAATGGTAGAACAAAGAGTGAAATGATTCAGCAGGGATACTCACTAGACACTATGTAGAAAATGAACTTTACACCTTGTGGGGGATGGAGTAGGAAGGGGAAAATCTGGAAGGGAATGCAAGGGTGTATGACAGTGTACAGAAGAAATGCACTCATTACCTGAATCATGATACTGTAATCCCTCTGCACATCAACCTCACAATGTAAGTTAAACAATTTGAAAGATAGAGTCTCACAGACTTTCCTGCCAGCTTGACTTTGAACTGCCATTCTCTATCTCACCCGTGAGTAGTAGAATTACAGGCTGATCCACCAAATTCTAGTATGAATCTTTCATTCTTTTCTTTTCTTTTTTTTTTGTGACAGGATGAAGGGTTCTTATAGAAGAACAAATTAATTAAGTGTGACCTGCTTTCTCAAGGCAAGTTTGATCAAATCTCAACCACTACAGTTTTAACTACTGAGAATTCTTTTTTTTAAAGGGTAGAATTAACATTTTACTGGCATTAATAATCAGAAAATTGTAGGGTATATAGTCTCCACACTTCATACTTTTGTAAATTAATAAATAATCTACAAGTTTTCAAACAGCTGGCATTTTTTTCAGAAAATGTGATTATACTAGTTCATTAATGTGGATTTGAGCATTTCCTTATTAGCGCCAGAATAAGAAGGATGGCATGCATTTGGCTTCACATTCTGCAGTCACATCCTGACAGTCATCCATGTCAACTTCAAGGAACATCACCTTGGGATATGTTCATCTCCTGTAGCATCCAAGGCTTCTTGAAAGGCATCCCTGCTGTCCATCTGCTTCACCATTTTGGCTGTTGTAGATTAGTCGGAACAACTGTAAAAAGGATCGGAATTGGATCCAAGGTGTCGGACAGAGCTCCTATTGTGAATTCTTATCACAAAAGATGTGTGGGATGTGGAAAGAGTCCTCTTGCCTACAAGGGAAGCCATTTGGTATTTGATGTGTGTGTGTGTGTGTGTGTGTGTGTGTGTGTGTGTGTGTGTGTGTGTTGTGTGTGTATGATGTTAGTCAGGCAGTTTTTCTTTTTGTTGTGTTTTGTTTTCTTGTGCCCTTTGGAGGTCTTAAACTCAGGGCCAGGGAGATGTCCCTGGGTGCTTTTCCTGCTCAAAGCCAGCACTCTACTACTTGAGCCACAACCCCACTTCTGGCTTTTGGGGAAGTTTACCAGAGATAGCATTCTCAAGGGCATTCTTGCCTGGACTGCGTTTGAAATGTGATCCTCAGAACTCAGATTACCTCAGTAACTAGGATTCTAGGAAGAAATAATACTCTCATTCTATGGTGCTGACAAATGATCTCTTTCTTCTTGCTCTTCACATTTCTTTCTTTTTAAATTAATTGACTCATTCATACTGTAAAGGGCCAGTCGGGGACAGCCCCAAGACTTGGGGATTTGCATACAATCATTTAGATAGTGTTCCAGTTATTTCTAGGCTGAATTTCCTCCAGATTTCTGATGGTGTGTGCACAGGACACCAGCTTCTCTTCAAAGGTATAAAACACTGAAGACCAAAGGTCTCCCACCAATATACACTAATACCTCAAGATTCCCACTGTCCTGAGCCTGCAGAACATCTAAGAACAGCCAGCCCAAATTACAGCATCCACCAAGAAACCTAGAAATTCTGTCTCTGCTTTCTTCCCTCTTTCCCTCCCTCCCTACATAACTTTGTTCTTTCTTTCCATCTTTCCTTCCTTCTTTCCTTCGTTCCTTCTTCAACTCCCTTCCTTCTTTCTTACTTTCCTTCCTTGAATCCTCCCTCCCTTCTTCCTTTCCTTCCTGGTTGCCTTTCTCCCTTCTCTTCTTCTTTCCTTTCTTTTTTATTATGCTGTATTGGGACTTGAACTCAGGGCCTGGAGGCTATACGTGACCTGCTGTTTGTCAAGGCTAGTGCTTCACCACTTCAGCCACAATACTACTTCTCACTTTTTCTGAGGAGTTGATTGTAGATAGTCAGGGTACCCAGGACTTGGGGGTTTGACAATCACTTAGAAAGGCAAGACAATGTTCCAGTTCTTTCCAGGCTGAATTCACTCCAGAATCCTGATGGTGTGTGCACAGGCCACATGAACCACCAAAGCCTCACAGACACAGCCCAGTTTCTTTTCAAATGTATAGCAAACTGAACACAAAAGAGATCCCACCCTCATACCTAATTCCTGAAGACATTCCCACTGATGGTCCAATGGCCTGAGCCTGCAAATGACCCAACAAGATCAGCCAGCCCAACTTACAGCATCCACCAACATATCTGGTCATTTTATGTCTATCTTTCTTTCCTTCCCTCCTTCTCTCCCTCTCTCCCTTCCTTCCTTCCTCCTCCCTCCTTTCTTACTTTCCTTCCTTCCTTCTTGTGAAAGCCCAAAAAATCCAACCTGTGAGACCCCCAAATGATTGGGAATTTGGAAGGCCTCCTCCCAACATACTGTCAGAACACTGAGAGTTTCCTGAAAAGGTCATCAGTCCTGGCTTAAGGGCAATTCAGATTTCTGTCCTGGGTGTGGGCTAAGTCCCCTCAAACTATCTGGGATCATAGTCTTAGACTCAGGTTTATGCAAATTGTCAGTTCTTTATGGCTTAGCTCTACTTCCCAAGATGAAGAAGTCTTCTACCACTTGTATACCAAATATTGTCACATGTTGAAGGTTATACCTTACTTTCTGCACACACTTCCCTATACAAAACCCAATAAAACCCTCGGTTCGTGGAACCTTGGAATCTGAAGCCTGCGGAAGGCTACAGGTCCCCTGGTACTCCCAACCTCAGTTCCATGGTCTGGTCTCCCTTACTGCCTTGATTCCAGTCACAGCAGGTTAAGGGCCACGGGGCAGGTTACAACCCCTTCCTTCCTTATTTCCCTCCTTCCTGCCTTCGTTCCTCCCTCTCCCCATCCCTTCCTCCTTTCCTTCCAACTTAGATATATGAGGAAGGCTCCTCTTTACCCAATCCTCTCTTGTTTCTAATATGAGATCACACATTCAAACTGGGCACCTTTTATGTTCTGGCCACTGTGTGTTTCGCTGCTAAGAAAATTGCAGTGGATAAATTAGATGTTAGAGTAGCCCAGCAAAGAAAAGCAAGGTGTAGGCATTGTTCAAGTGTTAAAAATGCCAGCCTAGCAGGTCAGGGTCCTGAATTCTAAACCCCAGTACTGCTTAGAGAAAAAAAATAATGCAGGGATGAAGGAAGCAAGCAAGGAAGGAAGAAATCAATCTCTCCACCCTCCTCTAGCTAAAGCCTCCACAATCTTATTCTAAGGAAGGAGATCCTATTATTCTCTTTTCAGCAGTGCAGCAGTGACAGTGTGGCAGGATTGGATGTTTATACTAGATAATCAAGCAGGACCTCAGCAAAGTAGGCATTATTTGAAATTGTTATGTGTGATTCCCTGGTTGGATACTTGGTATCAGGGTGGATGATGGGTGGCAGGAGCAGGTCCATGAGGGAAGACAACTTACTGCCAAGAATGCACAAAGAAGATTGTTCTCAGGATCCTGTGCCGACTCCAGTGCTGCCTTTCACTCATTTACTTGTAGTCATCCATGTCCAGAGCACAACAGGGCCTCTCATCCTCATAGCATAACAGATTTCTAGCTTTCCAAAATGGTAGGACAGGCTCAGGAACAAGTTACCATGAAAGACCCAGTTAGGAAGCAGCAGGTCAGGCTCACTCCCGTGGTAATCTAAGGGAAAGGGACACCGTTCCCCACAATCACCAGCATCCCCTCTCCAAATCTCATTCTCTACTCCCCTTGGCCTTAAAGTCCCCCCTTGAATGAAACAGCAAAGGCTAACAAGCAATTACCTCCAGAAACATTGGTAAAGCATTGCAGTCAGTGACATCGCCCAGAGCACTGACTTTCTGGAAAGGTCCTGGAAGGCTGCAGCTGATGGTGAAGAGCTAAGATGTGGAGTTGGAAGATGGTGTGGGGAGAAAGTAGAGGTTAAGCCCTGGATCCCTGGGAATAGCATGAGTGGACAAGCTATCCAATGGGGCCAGCCAGTTGAGCAGGAAGAGGAGAGAATGTAGGACTTCCATCCTACCCTGGGAGGAGAGACCAGGCGCCCACCTGCCTGCTGGGAGGCTTCTGGAAGTGTGGCTTCCTGAAGCACAGCTGATGAAGATGTGACTTAGCCCGAGAGAAGACTCCCTCCTGACTGGCTTCTCCCTTCTCCTGTGATGCAGACCAGCTGTTAGTATGGCAAGTCGGATTCATGTTTTAATGACAGCATCACCTTGGGTGGTAAGCCCCACTTCTCCTTAAGAGGATTTTCTGCCCCATAAATGTGACCAGTTTTCAAGCATAGCATCTCACGAAAGCCAGCTTTAGGGTGTCTATCATTACCGTTATTTTCTATCCAGAGAGGAAAAAGGTGGAGGCCCCTGTTCACCTGCCCACGATTCACAATCTTGGAGAAAAACTCATTTGGTTGCCCATGACCTCATTCTGCCCAAGCCCTTAAAGTCCACTGGGCTTTCTCCTGAGAGAAGGACTGTGGATTCCTTCACTTACCAGCTCTGAGGCTGCTTGGGGCTTGCAGCCTCCTTCCTGCTGGTGATGGCTAGCTGAGTCTAGGGCAGCACTGCACTGTAGAGATACAATGTGACACTGTGAATATGGCCCATATCTTTACTTTTTCATTTTCCTAATTTTCTCTTTTTTTTTTACTTGTAGTTTTACTACCTTTTAGTAGCTGTACAAAGAGGTTACTATTCAACATGTCAGTCAATGAGTACAATGCATCTTGATTAATAATCTCCCCTTTCACTTTTCTCATTTTTAAAAGTTAAATTAACAGTGAAATGTTTTAATTGGAAAAAAATGGTTTACACAATGTATCCAAAACATCATTTTGATTTGTAGTCAATAGAGATGTCAGCAAGGGAGGGACTTACCTGGTCATGAAAGCCAGTGTGTGCCTCGCACTTCACAGCTGTAGCATCTCAGTTCAAGCATTCTCCATTCTTACTGCTGCATGGCCACCTGTGGCAGCCACGACCTGAGGTCTGTGAGGTTCAGTAAGGATTATGGGACCTAACACAGGTAATGTGCACATTACTGACCTATCCTTGCTGCTGTTTTAAATCCTTCCTTCCTCTCTCTAATCCCTGTGACTCTGACATCTGTCTCCTTCCCTCCCTGCCTTTCTCCCTCCTTCCCTTTCCCTCCCCTCACACACACACATAAAGACACTCCCCACATGGAAGAGATTTTACAAGGACCCAACACCAAGCACTTCTCCAGGCTCCTAGCTTTACTTGTAGAGGTGCACAATCCCCAGTGCACCGCCCTCCATCCTGTCCTTGAAGACCGCAGCCATCACCTCTGGCGAGCTCCCCAACTTCTCCCAATGCAGCACCCCACTTAGCCTCTAATCAACAACAAATTCCCTGCAGAATGGAAAGAAGCCCAGCAGAATGGAAAGAAGCCCAGGCGTGGAGTTCAGGATCCTGTGGGATGCTGTTCTGGGATCCCCACTCTAAAAGGGAGCCCCATGACACTTGTTCCCTCAGTCTGGAAAGCAAGGACTTTGGAGAAACCTCCCCCACTGCTCCCTGCTCCCCGGGACCCAGCCCCTCTTGGGAGTCAGAGTGTGTGGGATGGGAGGGGGGCAGCAGTGTGACCAAAGGATCCAACTAGGGTGGCGGACCACACCCCAGGATGGAGAGTAGACAGCAGGATGCCAGGGCTGCTGGGTATCTCCTTCAGGATGCCGAGTAGAAATGGAGTTGGAGAGCCTGCCCAGTTTGAACTTAGCTTCCCCCAGGCACAGCTTCATAGTGCCATATCCACCCCCCCCACCCCACCCCCCCACCCCCGCCCGCACCGGCAAATCAAGCCAGCTCCACCTCCATTGCCCGAGCTGGGGGAGCTGGTGCAGGTTACTGCTACTCAGCCTTACCTGTTTGCCTGGGATGCACGGCTCCCAGGGAGCTGCCCTGCAGCCCTGCACCATGCCAGAGATCATGTTCATCTAGGCTAGCCAAAGTGGCAACCAGACTGGCAGTAAGGTGGAAGTGCCACTGTCACTGACCAGGGGTCTCAAGGTTATATGCTGGTTAGGAGGAAGAGGTTCCTGCTAGGGCTTAGAGGGGCCTGTAGTGGTCCCTGACTACCCCGATGGTGAATTCCATTCAGAAAGACTCCATGCTCCACTTGCCTAGAAGGCTGTGTCCACACAAATGTGTGTGCTTTTAAATCAGGACTGTTTAGACTATCTTGAGGAACAACCTTCCAGCAGGGGGCAGTTTGAATTCCCCTGTGTGCATCAGTCTTTCATGTGTAGCCAGTCTTATGTGAATATTCCAAGTGCAGTTTTGTCCAGTTACTGAAAGAAATGAAGTGTCCTGAGCTGACAGGTAGGAGGCTACCCTTTGGGTCAGCAGATGAGTGTTGAAAACCAATCCTTTTACCTCAGTGTGAAGTTCTCCGAGTGAGCCTTCTCTCCGCACCTCTTCCCTCATCTCCATTAAGCTGTGTTGTTTCCAAGCTGTTTTTGATGTGTGGTCCGAGGACGTGTAGAATCCACTTGGGTTTCTGAATACCCACATCTCCAACTTCTGATCAACATGAGGCCCAATTCTCTTCACAAATTCAATCAGAATATGGTACTGCAATACATTAAATACAAATATGAGATGTCTTCTATTAAGCCAGATAGAAAAGAGATCAATAAATTGTAAAATGCCATCCTTTTTATTTATTTCAGAAAATAGGATTTTTACAAAAACCATTTTGGTTAACATGACATGGGTTTCCTACAGTTTTTTTTTTTTTTTTTTTTGGTCATTTGTCTGAATTCTGGGCTTGGGTGCTGTCCCCAAGCCCTTTAGCTCAAGGCTAACACTCTACCTCTCTGCTACAGCGCCACTTCTGGCTTTTTCTGCTTATGTGGTGCTAAGGAATCGAACCCAAGGCCTCATGCATACAAGGCAAGCACTCTACCACTAAGCCACCTTCCTAGCCCAGGTTTCCTACAGTTTTTAAATGCATTACTAATGTTTGACCATTAGCATTCTGGGCCATGATGTAATTGTTTTTCAATCTCAGTATTGGGAGATTATCAGCGACAAACATGGCATTGACAGCACTGGCAGCTACCATGGAGTCAGTGACTTACAGCTGCAGAGAATCCACCTGTACCCCAATGAAGCTGCTGGTGAGTGTCTCCCACCTGATTTTCCACACGACGGGAGAGGAATGGGCCTAAGAACATACAAATGACAAGGAATATTGCTGCCTTTGGGGGGGGTAGGAGGTGGCCCGGTAGTGGGGTTTGAACTTGGGTTTGAACTTATTATCCTAGTGTTCTACCACTTGAGGCACTCTACCAACGCTTTCTGCTTTAGTTCTCAGATAGGTTCATGTGATCTCTCCAGGCCATCCTCAGGTCTGGATTTTCCTACTTCTACTTATCTTCAATTAATCTCCAAAAAGTCAGAAGTGGAGCTCTGGATCAAGCGGTAAAGGACTAAGCTTGAGCCCAAAAGCTCAGAGACAGCACCCAGGTCTTGAATTCAAGCACTGGTCCCCCAACTCAGACCCAGCAGCACATACACAATAAAATTTGGTGGGGGGAGGAGATGTTAAAGCTTGAAGTTCTCCATGTGGCTTAATGCCCACTTAAAGTTGACCACATTGTAGGGAGGTATCACGGGAGAGGCACAGAACAATTCTGAGGCATCTTGATGACCGGGAGCAACATGATCAAGGCCCAGGTCACAGAACCTCCCGGGCAGCAAAGTCCTTGGAGGATTCCACTCTAACTCTACAAACTTGTTGAATTTCTCTCACAAAACCTAATACGGGCTGTATTTGTCTTCTGGCATTAGATGCATCTCCAATGCTTTGTAGCGATGGCACACCACTTCAAAACCACTTTCCTTGAACATTTCATGAAAATCTAAAGTAAAAATCTTCATTTCCCCCACAACTAGCATGGGAGAGCCATGGAAGGTACAGTGTAAACTTGCCATGAATAGGGGCACAAGAGTAAATCACTGCTTGCCAGGAGCTAATGGCACACACATGAAATCCTAGCTACTCAGGAGGCTAAGATCTGAGGATCACAGTTCAAAGCCAGCCTAGGCAGGAAAAGTCTGTGAGACTCCTATCTCCAATGAACCACTCATAAAACTGGAAGTGGCACTGTGGCTCAAGTGATAAAGTGCTTGCCTTGAGCTGAAGAGCTGAGGGATACTGCTCAGGCCCAGAGTTCAAGACCCCCCCCCCCCAAAAAGAGTAAATCACTGCAGGTCTGAGCACCTGAGGGTTGCCTATAAGATGTTCACCTAACAGAGACAGACAGCATATTCTGAATCACCTCAAGTAGCATGGTTTGAACAACAGTGTGAGGTAGTGATTGAGTGGCAACTAAAAAAAATCCACTTTAACAAGCACTAATTGTAAGAGAAAGTGGATGGACAAAACAAATGTCTAGAATCTTAGGTTGAGCAGGGGAGTTTCTTGGGGGCATCAGTCCATTGGGAAAGAACAAATCGGAATTCACAACCACCACCAGCCTGTCATTCAAATATTCCAGCCATCCTATTGAGAGCAGAAAAAGAGCCTGGGTAAACAATCAGGAAGACAAAGGATCTTCCATAGTGGTCTTGCATTCATTACATCATGGCTTTGAACAGCAGAGAATATTACAGGCCCTTTGCCCTAAGAAGACTTGCAGGTGAACAGTGGACTGACTAGCTCTGATGTATGTGCAGGAATAGGCATCAAAAGCATAAAGAGCTTGTGGAAGCTTGTGCAGGCTTTGTGGAGCCTGTAAATGGGTCTAAGTATTGATATGGCTTGTGAGCTACAGAAGGATCCTGAAAATTACTCTCTCCTAGAAAGACATCTTTTTTATCCCAGTGCAATCTGCCCTTACGTAGGTCTCTTCCTGTCTTCCTGCTCTTATTTCTCTTCATACATCTTTGCTGTATTAGTTCTTCCTCTTTGTTCAAGGATTCATTCTTTGAAACAGTCAAGACAAGAGAGCAGATCAGGTTGTTGCCATGTTTTTAGTATCACTATCATGTTTGGAGTACCAAGCAAATAAGCCTTAGTCAGTCATGATGGCTCTCACCTGGAATCCCAGCCGCTTAAGGGTAGAGATCAGGAGGGATCAGGAGTCTAGGCTGGCCTAGGCAAAAAGAACCTGACCTTCTTCCTTTAGGTCTGATGCAGGACTCACTATATCTGCGACCTAGTGTATGTTCCTCTTTGGACACAGGACCACAAAAGGCAGGCATACATACTGGCCATCAAGAGCCCTCTTCTCACACAACAAAAGGATCAAATCCCATGCTCCGTGCCCCATGCAGTTACATTTTTCAGCAACAGTAGCAGGAGCCCTGACCCCTGACATCACACACACACACACACACACACACACACACACACACACACACCTCAGTTGGCAGTGAAGCAGCCCCACAGGAAGAGTTCAAGTTCCTACTTGCCATGGTGGTACCATACGGCATCTGGCAGCTTTAAGAGAGAGGTGACTCTAGTTCTTTGGAGGAGAAGCTGACCAGTCCTACAGTGTTTCAAGGTCTTCTGAGTCAAGAACGGGAGGGGAGATATGGCCTTCTCATGTGACCCACTGTCACTTTTCCAGCTTCCCAAGCTGACTGAGGGCCACAGGGGGCTGCAGGGATATGTGGATGTGCTGATCTCGCCTGTTGGGTATCTTTGATGAGTGCGACAGAAATTGCAATTGCTTAGAACCTACACAATGGCCAGGAAGAAGGTGAGCACTCCTGTTTGCACCAGACACCAAAAGAGCAGCTGGTTTCTGTGGCAGGATCTTTCTCATCATGAATGTGGAGAACAACACAGATCCAGGGAGGTCGTCTGTGCCAGGCATCCCTTCCACAGCCACTAAAACCTGGTGACCTGCAAAGCTCTTCTTTCTTCTAAGATCCTGAAACTTGTAGGCAGGTAATGGGTGAGGTGCACGCTCCTTGCTGCTGGTAAAGCTGGGAGAGAGTAAATTCCCTAAACTTAACCTACCAGACTTGGGGTTGCGGTGGGTGGGTGGGGCGGGCAGCT